TTGTCTCTTATGAAGTACTATAAAGTGCAATATTAAAAATTAAAAAACCCAAAAGGCATCCATTGTCCTTCAGTTTTATCCTGATGAGCACTGGAGACTCATTTAATTAAATGGCAAAGAGTTATCTACCCTTAATTCACACATGCAATTTCATCCTTGAAATGATTTTATTCAGGCATTCAGACTTACTTTATTTTTTCCTCCCCCTTTTTTTTTTTTGGTCTGACATTATTTAAAAATTAGTTTTCTCTTTTGGTTAGCTGAGTGTTTTAGAGAACCATTAGTCCCCAAGGCTTTAGTTTCTTACAGATCCATTATGAAGAAATATGCAACCCAACATATAAGACTGCAAGAGAAAATTCCTGCCTTTTTGGAGAGCTGTAGATGATTTTCCTAGGCTGGGACACTAATCGTCATCCTCACAGCCCCCGGAGTGTCGGGGTGATCTAAAGCAGCGTCTCCTATTCTGAGTTCTTTGTGAGCGTGGGGTGATGACCTTGAAAGTTTGTGAGCTTGACCTCAGCAGTGTCGCAAGATAATGCTGCTCCCCGTGTTAACATTCCTCACTGGAGAACCAACCCTTGCTGGTGCTTGTTGCACGCAAGACCTACTGGTCCTCCGAAGGTATTTCCACCACCCTACTTAACTGTGGGGGTGAATCCTGCCCACATTTAGCAGCAGGGACTGCTCCCCAGACGCAGCCCGTTACATGAAACATGTTGCGGGCAGAGGTCTAGGTTTTTTAAAATATTTACACCCGTGAGGAGAAGTAGGAGAAAATGCTTGTTAATCTTGCCAAGTGTAAGTAAACTGGGAAGCTGGTAGTGAGGAGCTTGCAGAAGGGCAGGACTGGGCCAGGTGGGACTAGAAGTGAGGTTAGAAATAAACAGAAGCTCCACAAGGCCAGGTGGAGAGGGGCTCCCAGTCGGCATGCACCTGTGCAGATGCACTGGGCTGGCCGAGAAATGCCTGGCTTCACCCCCAGGTCTTGGGAGAGAGGTACGGAGGCCACAGAGCACAAAGATAGAGGTGAACTGGCAACACAGTGTGTGACTTTTTAAAAGGTAAGAAGAGCGAGAGGGGAGCGTGAGAAGGGAGTGAGCCTGAGCTCCAGGGTGTGACTCAGCACAGTTCAGTGAAGACCGATGCTCGTGTCCTGACCTGCTGTAAGGTACGATCATTTAAGGACACAGTAGTGTTTAACAAGGAATAGCTAAGAAGAACTGTAAAAACAGTTAAGAGGATTAAAAAAGACTATAAAATAAAAGTGTAAGAATACTTTGGATAAAGGAGGCAAAGCATTGTTTGGTGAATTCCAACTACTGGGGTAAAGAGTGAAGAGTGCTCACATGCACTTGCTTTCTGCCAAAAAGGAAAAAAAATCAATTAAATCTTCAACTGGAGGGCCGGGGACATAGCTCAGTGGCACAGTGCCTGCCTGGCAAGTGCGAGGTTCTGAGTTCAATTCCCGGTATTACAAAACAGCAAACAAACAAGACTTCAACTGGAGGGCCCGGAGTTAACTTGGTGGGAGACTTTTCTGACACTGATGGTTGTTAAACACGGAACTTGGTTACACTGTGAGCGTCTCTGCTGGGATCCCCTTCCTAGAGGACACTGCTCTTTGGACTATGGTGATAAACTGGACAAACTCCTAATGGAATTAAATCTTTGGTGGCAGCCTATGAATACTCATGGCTTTCCATCAGACTTAGGTGCCTGTCTATTTTCAAACAGTTCTTTTAGGTTTCCCAGTCTGTTACTCAAGTTGTAAAAGCTGCCCTGGCTGAGGTAACAAAGCGGTCCATGCAGCCCGTGCTACCTGTGCACTCGCTTGGATCTTGCTGCTCATCACCTAACCCCACGGTGAGAACTCTCTAGGCAGAGTGAATGCTCTGGAGTTGGCGTGTGCAGAGCTGGGCTGATGCCCGTATGTGAGGGGGTGCACAGCGGGTCCCGGGCACCTTCTTTGGGGTTATGTGGAAAACACATTCCTCCTGTGCACAGCTAACGTGAGTTCCCTTCTGGTTCAGTGCCACAGCCTGTAGCCCCGAACCTCCCAGCAGAGGGAAACAACTATTGCGATGGTGTAATAACAAACGATAGAGTGGAGCTGGCTATATTTCCTTTATTGCTTTTCTTGTTTGCTATATATTTCAAATAACATGAAGACATGAGATTCAAAAAGAAAATACAGAAGCAGGGTGTTTGACTCAAATGGACAGTGGGGTAGGGACATGGTTACCTTTCTTTCCCAAGGCCTCTGGAGATTTAAAATAAAATCTAGAACTATATACGGACTGTTGTAATTGTTTTAAAAAGCCTGGTGTTATTAACTATTTTAAAAGACATAAGGATACATTTCAATGTGACAGTCACTTTCTTAGGAAAGCTGGTAAAGTCAGTTAATCTCCCTTCTTCCCTTAATGCCAAGGCCTTTTCTGTGAAGTGTGGAGGGAGGGTGGGGCTTGCGGGTGTATCTCAAAACTATTAAACCAGGTAGTGTGTAAGATCTGGCTTAGCAAGAATGAGGATTAGTTTTTGTAGCACACTTTCTTAGAAATCACCCTGAGAACAACTTTTCTTATTTTGTCTGGAACAGTGCTGCTATGTATAATATGGTCACTTGCTTTCTGGGGTAGCAATCTGTCTTGGTGCAAGGAAGCTTAACGTTCACATAACTGTGTGTGTGTGTGTACATGTGTGTAGATGTGGTAGAAAAGCACACGCAGAATTTATGAACCGCATGCGTTGAGATAGGCCATCAGACCTACTTAGACACTTGAACGCAGTAATTTCAACAGAGCCTTATTTTAACGCAAGTGCCACCTCCAACTCTGCTTGGCAAGCAGCCCTCCCGCTGTCTTCTCCTTGGCCAGCTTTCTGGCGAGGTGGCAGGAGCAGGGCACTCTCCTCCACAGCTCGTCTCCTATCTCACTGTCACAGAGACATTCAAAGATGCGAGCAACGGGGGGAGTTTGCCAGCTTCCTCTCTGCCCAGGGATAAATGCACACTGACAGGATCAAATGTCTAATCAGCGAGGCAGCTGTGTTTTGCTGAACGGGCTCCAAACCACCTGACTCATGTCTTCCCTATGAAGTAAATTATAATGGCGCCTGTCAGGTGACACCTGTGAGAAGCCCTACAAAGCGTTTTCCCTGAATATAAAGTAGTCGCTGTCTCTTTTCACAATCTTCCGGGCAAGGTTTTAAAATGTTCTGTTGCATCTGTCAGGCTGATAAACAACCTTATGCCTTGGTCCCTGCACGCGTATTCTGCTTTCCTGGTCGGTCACTGCCCAGTTCAGCTTAGGTCCTGGGAAGGCGAACAGCACCGTCTACTGAGGTGCTTCAGTTCGTTAGGAGTCAGGTCGGGAGGGCAGCGGGTTACGCTGTGGGCATTCTCAGATGCAGTTCAGAAGTTTCCATTTTAGAATTTTTGGTTTGAACCAAGTTGTTTTCCTGTCCTCAGGCTGCCCGGGCTACAGGAGCGGTGGCAGCAAGCAAGACCTACTTGGTTTGCTGGGAGTAAATGCAACCACTAGGGCGCAACTAATTTATTTTAGGTTTGGTGAGGTGTTGGTATGACATTTTGCTATTGTTCTGTATACTGTTCCAGAGAAGCAAAGAGGGTGTCTGCAGTCTGAATCTTTCTCCTGTGCTTTCTGTTGCATACTCCTCACCTCTGGATCAGCAGTAGGGATATGGCTGGCCATTTCCTTAAGGCTGTAAATGTATATTCTGGGGCTGGGAACACACAGGTGCGTGTGTGTATGTTTGTACATATATGTGCATAGAGCAAAGCGACCTTATGAGACCAGGAAGAAATGCTCCCTTTGGTTGATGTGCGTGACTTTCCTTTTGTTTGACTTTGGCAAACGTGATGCTCTTGGCTTTGGAGTTCTGCATGTGGTTGGTTCAGGAGTGACGATGTAACTGATATTGTACAAATCTGGTACTCACGTACACAGGCATGCAGGGAAGCGTGTAAAGACGAAGGCCTTGATGTGGAAAGTTTCTTGTAATTGTGTAAATCATTCTAAACTGGCGCATCATCACACACTCAAAGACACATAAGTAAGAGGAAGCAAGGACAAGCCGTGGAAGGCGCCCGCCCACTAGGCCAGGGAGCACTTCTTCCATAGGCCATGCGACCGCACAGGATTCATGTGGGACCGAGGCTTGGAAATGCCGCCTTCTCAGAGCAACTTTTCTTTAAAGCCTGGGACCCTCCCTATGGAACGGAGCTACCAGGTCCGTGGCAAGTGAGTTCATGCTGGGTGTTTGCACGAGTGTCCAGTGTGAGCCAGGATGGACGGGAGGGAGCAAGCAGGCAGCGGGAGGGCCAGGGAGTGTTGGAATCAGAATAGGTGACACCAGACGTGTGGTGCCCAAAATCACCTATTGAAACCTTTTAGAGAACAAACCAGTTAATAAAATAGGATTCACACAATAACCATCTGTGCTCCCCTTCAAGCCATACACAGGGCAAACAACATGTTTTAAAATTAAAAGTTCACTTTCTCACTCTCTAAAAACACAAATTCTTGCCTTTGTACTAAGCCCTGCCTTTGATGAATGAGATTCGGGCTTGCTCCTCCCACACACCTGAAAACCCAACTGTGCGCGGTTGCAGAGCCTTGAAAGCTAGTGTCCTAAGGAGCAGAAACTCGGTTTCTTGCTTTCTCTGTGTGTGGGGGCTCCTTTCTGCAGGGTTATTTCCTTGCGGGTGAAGGGCGAGGGTGGGCACTTCCTGCTGTGGCCGTGCCCTGCAGCGGGAGCTGAGGGTTCGTGGAAGGAGAAATGGCCTAGGTCTGGGGCTTTAGGGCTCTTGGTGTTCATCTGTGAGTCCTGCCTCCCGGCTTCCTATATTAAGAAGAATGTGGGGGCTGGGGATTTAGCTCAGCGGCAAAAGCGCCTGCCTGGCAAGCGCAAGGTCGTGAGTTCGGTTCCCGGTCCCGGAGAAAAACCAAAAACCAAAAAAAAAAAAAAAGAAGAATGTGCTCGTCACACAATCAGAGCAGGCAGAGCTGACTGGAGGCGTGGACACACTGGTGAAGCCCCCACACGTGTGTGTGTGGTAGGTGCCCACTTAGATGCGGGTGGGTGTGCAGCCGTGGGTCATCCTCTGTTCATTTGGGAGAAATGAAAGGTTTTACATATTATTTCATCAATTTAGTTTGTTCCCCCCATGCCCTTCCAGTTTTATTTTCCACTGAAGTAGACCTGAGAAATAATGCAAAGTGTCAAATAGAACTTGAGGGCACTGAATGAGAAGGTCCCATGTAAAGCCGAGCAAAATTAAGAAATCAAAACTTTGGGGTAGTTGGCTTGAAACCAGTACAATGAAGCTATGGAATACAGTCTTTAGGGGACTCTAAAAGCACAGCGTGTCCCAGCTAGGCTTCTCACGGGAGGAGAGACACAGGTGTTGCTTGGGCTCTAACCAAATCCTTCAGCAGGACTCAGAAACCTTCGGGTGCACCAAGGACTGTCTTTGCAGACATCTCTAAACGGTCTCCATCCAAGCAGTACGGATTACAGCTAATTTAGATCTATTGGGGATAATGATTCTTAGACACGGAAGCCCTTGATGACCACACTGGAAAATGCTTTATGGAGCTGCTCCCACATTCCCTGTAGGTCTGGCTGAGCACCTCACCTGGATGGTGTTCGTCTCACACCTCTAGGCTCTTCTGGCAGGCGCTGGGCTAAACGTGAGCCCTTAGCTTCAAAACACACCTAAAGGATGTCCCAGCTAAAACCGCCCTCCTTTTGATGACAATGGGATATGTGTTGGAACAATATAGGTCCAGTTTATATAATTTTGCTGTCCTAGAAAAGCACTAATTTGGTTTGCAGTCATATTTTCTGCTTGCATGCTGGGGCAATATATGAAAAAAACCAAAACAACCCAATCCTCATCGCCACCTCCCCAAACTAATATCAATCCAGTCTGGGTTTTACCTCTGTCTGTCCTAAATACTGGTGAGGGGGTCGAGTCAGCGCACCCCAGTGTGTGCGTGGGGGCAGATAGTCTTCCCTGTTTGGCTTGTGGGAACATTTTGGAGGGCTCAACTCAGGGTCCCTATAGTCTCTCTACTAAGCCCTCCTCCCCGCAAACTATTTCCCTAAACCACCCACCTTACTAGGCAGGATCCCAGTAAAGTCCAAGGTAGGCCAAAGGTCATAGCAGTGCCACCTCTATTTGTTGATATCGTGATTTCACCTCTTCCAATTATGAGGTAAAGCCCAGACTGAAGGTTGATGCCCCTTGTCAAATAGGTACTATAAATATACTAGAGCTATCCCTGAAAAGATGCATTTGTACTTATATATATATATATAATTTTATATATAGTTCTCTTTCTTTGTGTACAGTTATATATTAATCTATAGGGATGGAAGGAGAGGCATAGTACAGGAGCAGGCAGGACTTGTGTGCTCACGTGTGTCTATGTATACCATGTATATCTTATGTGTGTCTGTAGACTCGGACCTTGTTCGCATCACTGCAATGGATGTACCTCCGACCAGCGAGGAGTACCTGTCAGTGGTGAGTGGGAGAAGCCCCCGACTGGTGGTTCCCTGTGTGTCTTGCACAGAGTCATTTCAGCAGGCGGGGTGAGTCCGTCCCTCCTCCAGTCCACCCGAGAGGGGTGCCTGGCACCCAGGGCTCTGTGCCAGCTGCTTCTCCTCAAGCGGTCAAAGAGCCCAGCGCCTGGAGAGGGAGGGGCCGTCCATGCTGTTGGTTCAAGACAGGGCTTCTCTGCTAGATGGAGACGGGGCACACGAGAATTCTGTCTTCGAGGAGGACGCTGACCACCAGGAACACAAAGTACAGGCCGAACATGATGAAGCCCAGCACTTTGTTCATCCGCCATTTGCAGAGGGCGATGGAGAGGATGACGAAGAGCAGCATGATGAACAGGAGGACGATGGCGCAGAAGAGGCCATTGCTGCTGACAGCCACGGGCTGGAGCCTGTGGATGACGGTGTACAGGAGCCAGGGCAGCGGCAGCCTGCGAGGGGCAGAGAGGCGCGGTTAGGTGTGTTAAGAAATGGGGTATATCTCGGCACTTCAGAAGGGGGTCGTGTTGGGCTCGCTGAGACGTCAGTGTGCAGCTGGCCCAGGAAACTGGCAGGTGAACTTCGAAAAGCTTTTTCCCGGCCAAGCTGGTGAGAACAGAGAACTTGTTCTGTCACAGAACGACACCAAAGACCGACTGCTGCAGGCAGCCTCTGAATTTCATGACATCATGTTTTGTTTCCTTCCTATGGAGACGAAAACGTTCTAGGCACCAGAAAGGTGAGCGCGAGGACTTAAAAGTGGGCTATGATTTTCCAGCGGTACACACTGGGTATGCAGATTGATGGGTTTCATTTTGCCTGATTCACATATGGACATAACAGACCGTGATCGTTTTCCTCCCCATCAGGGCTTTAACTCCCTCTCCTCTGAAGATTCCCTCTTTGGGGGGATTTCACTCCGTATATTTACAAGGTGAGGAGAGGAGAAGATAAATGGACGAAGGTATAGAAATGAATGGTGAAAACGTAAAAAATTGTTTTAAAAACAGAGACAGAGAATAACTGATTTAATTAACAATCTATGGATTTTTTTTTTTTTTGGTACTGGAAATCGAACTCAGGACTTTGCACTTGCCAGGTAGGTGCTTGTGCCACTGAACTATATCCCTGGTCTTAATTAACAATCTAAAAACAAGTAAAATTACATGATGATGATCCAATATTGCAGTGTGATGTTTATTCTGGAAAAAGATGTTGACAATCTTTTGATGAAAAGAATTTTCTTCTGAAAGAATTGTAGTGTGTTTTAAACCTTATTTTGCATTTTTATACCTGTTACCTCCCTTTTCATCAGACTTTTAATATCTGACAACATCTTTTGTTTCATATTCTGAAACACATCAGGAAAGCTAATTGCCAGGAATGCTGTGAGAGCGGGACTCTCTGGGAGACGAATCAGCATTCCTAAGGCATCAAGTGCACGGGGTCTCCAGGGGGTCTGGTGAAGTACAGCCGGCTCTACCCAGTAGGCCTAATGATGGAATTCTGCCTGGGAGGAGAGGATGGACTTTTGGATGGGCTTCTGCATGGGTGAGGGAGGTTCAGTTTTGACCTGGGCTCAGGGGTGTGGAAGAGGAGGTACCCTTTTGAAACTCGGAGTTCTCAAAAAGCAAGTAAGCTGTGAGAAAAATAATAAGGCTGAAAGGGCCAGTGAGTTTACACATCTGTCTCCTCTGCTGGATAGAGGAGAACCCACACACGGTGGATCTTTGCATTCAAGCAGAACCCACACGCGGTGGATCTTTGCGTTCCCAGGCCTGGCACATGCAGGCTTCCATTTAGGTGCATATGTTAACCCAGACAAAGCTGAAGTCATTGAAGTAACAGCCTCAGGGCCATCAGTACCGGTCTAAAGCCTGGCCCACCAAAGCCTGGCCAGCAGGCACCTCTTCAATGACCACTGTTGGGCTGCAGATGGAACAGGTGTAATTCCAGTTTTGGGCAGGAGGGGGCAGTCCTGGAAGCCTGGTTCGGCAATGGAAAGTCAGAACCGGGATTGGGGGTGCGGGCAGGAGGGGTGGTGAGACAGCATCGAGAACCATCACTAGGGACTCGTCCCATGCAACACTTCTTCCATACTTTCACATCTCAGGAAGAGAAAGACCCCAACCATTTTACCATTATTGGGATATTATTGGGATACGCTGTAGCTGGGATATTGGGTATCTTGGCAGGCCCACGTTTTGAAGCTCGGTCAGCGGGTTGTGGTGCCCCTGGGAGTGTGTGGCACCTTGAGGAGGCGGGCAGGTGCGGAAGAAGTGAGGTCACTGGGCACGCGCCTCTGGCGGGGATGTTGGGACCCTGGCCCCTTCCTCTCTCTGTGTTTGCTGTTAGGCCACCATGAGCAGGTCTCCCGCATGAGCTACTGTGCCAGCACAGGTCCAAGCAACAGGGACGCGTGCCCGTGTGCGCACACCTCTGAAGCCGTGAGCCAGAGTAAGTGTTTTCTCCATTGATTTTCTCAGTTATTTGTCACAGGGAAAGAAAGCCGCGCGCACACACACACACGCACACGCACACACCCACACACACCTGATTCTAATGAAGTTGAGGCTGACGGCATTTCAGTTAGTTTGTAAAAACCCTTTTGGAGGGGAACGACATTTTTCATGCCTTTTGATCTATCAATTTTATCATCAGTGATCAAACATGAAGTGCACACATAACTTTATTCAGGAAAATGCTCATTTATTTTGAGTAGTAAAAAGTTGGGATCTCATAATTTCTAATGATAGGGAACTAGTTAAGTAGTGAGTAAGCCAATGGAATACTACGTGCCTATTTAAAATCACAAATGTGTAGCGATTCAGGAAAATACTCATGATATAATTTTAAATGCAGGCTTTACTTATTTTTTATTGCAGTGCTGGGCATCAAACCTTGTGCCTTGCATATAATTTTAAATTTGAAAGAATTTATATAAAGTGTAATTTCAATGATGTAAAATATATACATATTTAAAAGGGTGGTAGATTATCATTGATCTTTATATATATATTTTCTAAATATTTTGTATTAATCTGATGAGCAGAAAGAAAATGCTGGCGGAGCTACAGAAATTTTACACTTGACATTGGCAGTGGTGTCAGTATATTAGAGATGACATCATAAGTTCCTATAAATTCTTGGGAAAGAAGTTTTTGGAAAGGAAATATGCAAAATACATCAATAACCATTAACACTTTCCTTTCTTTTTTCTTTTTGGTACTGGGAATTGAACTCAGGACCTCGTGCCTGCCAGGCAGGCACTTGTGCCTTTGAGCTACATCCCCAGCCCAGAATTTTCAAAATATTTAATCCATTAGTAATGCTTACAGGAATTTATCTGAGTAAAATAACTAAGGGAGAAAGTTTTTTAGAATAAAGGTGTATATCAAAATAACAATAGCAGAAAATTAAAAATAAAATTCTAGTAAAGGATAATGTTTACACTGAAAACAATAGGATACAATATTTGAAGCCATAAAATAATTTGAGAGCTATAAAATACTTAAAATGCTTTATATGATTTACTAATAGTACCTCTTTGTACCAGGTATATATGGCTTGAAGGTAGAAAAAATAAGCCTAGTGTGGTGGTGCGTGCTTGTAATCCCATCACTCTGTAAGGCTGAGGCAGGAGGATGGTGAGCTTGAGGTCAGCCTGGGCAGTTTAGTGCCTTTGAAAGGCCCTGTCTCAAAATAAGAAAGGGTCGGGGCTATACAACTTAGTGAGAAGGCTCTGGGTTCAATTCCGGTAAAAAGAAAAAAAAAAAAATGGAAAAAATAAGAGCTCTCTTAGAGGAAAAAAATGAATATTCACTAAGAAAACTATGAAACATTTGGAAGAGAAAATAAAAAATGCTTTGGGGAGTAGGATTAAGGATGATTTTTCTTTAAACTTTCATTTGCTGCTAGAATAGATGTACCATTTAAGAACAATCAACTAAGAGCATATTGCAACTCACTAGGATCCTATTTTTCAAATTCATGACAAATATGTCTAACAATATTTTCTTATTTTTTTTTCTTTTTGAGACAGGGTCTCGCTATGTAGTTCAGTCTGGCTTTGAGCTCACTTTGTAACCCAGGCTGGTCTCGAACTTGCAACGATCCTCCTGCCTCAGCCTCCTGAGTGCTGGGATTACAGGTGTGCCCTACCACACCCGGCCTCTAACAATATTTTCAATTTTTCTTAGCTTATAGGATTTTCACTTTTTTAACTTCAGAACATTTTCCTCTCCTCATCCTCCTTCTTTTTTGTTTTAACAAGTGATTGATCATTATGCATTCTAAATGCATAAGCAGTAGAGCTAAGAAACACAGTTTGTGCTACAACAACTTCCTTGAAAATATACACTTTCAAGGCCTTCGTTTAGTCGTCCATTCACCCAGGCACCCATCCATTCCACAAGCATTTCTCAGGCCACTGTCAGGCATTATGTATCAGGCTTTGGTGGCTCCTGCCCTTCGTGAGTTCCCGAGTTAGCAGGGAGACAGGGCTGTAGCAACGGTGTGATCTGTGGAGTCTACAGGCACGAGAGCCCTCCAGTCAGGCACGGATCAGAGAAGTCAGGATTGCAGCTCACACTGGAAAGATAGGTCAGCGTTTCCCGGCAGACCAGCAGGGAGGGCTCTTCAGTGAGAGGGGCCAGCAAAGGAAGGAAGAAGCCCCAGGAGAAGCCTCCCGGGAGGGGCACACAGTGGGCGCTCAGAGCTGGGTTTTACACACAGATAATGTGGCTAACGGCACAGACTCTCCTCAGTTCCCAACCTCCCACCTCGTTTTCTAGTTTTATGAATTCTGTGCCCTCAGGATCCACATCTGAGAAACGTAGGTGCTAATATACACTTCATATGATTGTTATGCTGCTTACGTGGGTAAAAGTGTACATACGGTATATATGGTAGACATTATATGAAGTTATATACACATATATAGTAATGAATAGGTAAAAGACAAAACAATACTAAGATGTTCGATGATAAAGTAGATGCAGTTCATTGGCTTTGCACACTGAGGTGTCACGAGCCCTGTTCTGTTGGGAGTTACAGGGTGACACCCTCTGTCTTGCTTTCTGAGGGGACTGACATTCAGGATGACTTGTCAGTTTCCATTTACTCTTGACAAATTAGGTGAAGTGGAGAGAGAACATCCCTCCCAGTCTGGCTCACTCCAGATACTATAATTCATATTGGGAATTCCAATTTATTTAATCTCAGGAGAAGATCTTGTGTTTCAACTTTCAAAAACCTAGTATATCTTTAGTGTCATACATAATCCCAAGAACTGCCAGTGTTTTCCAAGGAAGGAAACAATACTTGTTTTGGGCTTATGTTTGTCCAGTTTTGCCTTAAAACCCAAATCTCACCCAAAGCTGGTCAGGATATTAATTACAATATGGAAAAATTATCACGAATCTACTACCAGAGCATCTCAGTCTGGCCTGAATGTCGAATATTCATAACATGTGGTGAATGCAGGTATGTAAGCGAAATTTCCACAAAGTATTTTCTAAAACATATATTCCATACTCAGGTATGTGTTTCTGGCTACATAGGGATGAATTAGTCTTTAGGTTTTAGGCCCCGAGGTCCCGGTCATATCTTACAGCCTCTAGGAAGATGACGACAGTGATAGAGCTAGTGTACAGTTTTATAGATTTATCTCTACTCACCCTACAGTGATGTCGAAAATGTTGCTTCCAACAGAGCTGGACACGGCCATGTCCCCCAACCCCTTCCGGGCTACTATGACACTGGTAATAAGGTCAGGGATGGAGGTCCCGGCAGCCAGGATGGTCAGACCCATGATCTCTTCACTGATGCCAATGGTCTCGCCAACCTGTGTCACAACGGGCAAACATGGGTGTTGGATGTCACAAAACCATTAGAGCACAAACATGTCAATGCAGCCCCCTTTCAGTGAGTTCCTCCTGCGTGTTCTGCTAAATTCTGAGATGATAAAGATTAATAAGCCACAATCATTGCCGTGGAGGAATTCATATTTTTATGACATTCAGACCCAAGAAATTAGCAATGTTCATCTGAGGATTAAATAGATCATTGAAAATGAAAACCAAAAAGAACTGTAGAGGATTCTTTAGAGTTATGAAAGTCAACTGGCCTTTGAACTTAGGGACCAGCCCCTGACAGTGACACCTAATCTGGGCACAGATCTGCTCTTCAATTTACCATCAAAGGTTAAAAACTGACCCATTGTCCCCATTTTCCTTAATATTTCCTATGGTCTGAACCACGCTTGAACACTATTAGCCTCTGCCATTTCCATGGGAAACAGGATTTGGGGAGCATTCAGGTCTGATAATATAAAACTCTTATTAAAACAGTTGCAGAAAGGCAACAACCAGAGAAGCAGCGAACTTGGCCCAAAGTCTGGGTTTTTTAATTATTGAGAACTTGACCTACTGGTAACAGTTCCATTGTACAATGTCTTTGATCCTAGCTTTTTAAATTTGTAAAGTGGGGATAATAATACCTACCTTGTAAAATGATTGTGGGTAATTTGTATGAAGTCCTTTATAAACAGTGTATCATTACTGAGAAGTGAAGGGGGATGCAGCAGTTATATTTCTTTTTCATTTTTTCTTCTTTAGACTAATGAGTTCTGCTTGGAGGACTGGTCTAGCCTCACATACAAGTTTTTCTGTTCTTTTGAGTAAGTTGTTCATCTTGCTGGGACTTTACAAAGCTTTATGTATTTTCTGGTGCTGATGAACTGCAGTTCTGAAAATCTTTAAGATAAAGCTTTCTCTTGATTTCTATCAGCCTACTTGATGACACCCCGAGGTTTACTTTTTTGCGGGGGATAACTTAAAGGTTTTGGGGAATTACTGAAATAGCATGTAAGGATAAAGGAACTAGGGACTAGAATACATTCATTCCCAAATCTCTTTTATTTTTTGATCTGTAAGTTATAGCTTGGTTCCTCCTAGCCTAAAAACACAGGAGATGACTTTAATTTGATGGTCATGTCTGGTCCAGAGCCTGGTGTCCTGGTGAGGTTACCCTGTCCTCATGGCCACAGACTCAGCCTCCCATTAGAGAGCAAGCTCTGTGCAAGCAGGACCCTCGCCTTGGTCACCGTGTGCCCCTTATTTGCAGAGCATAGCCGGGTGTACGGCAGGCTCTGAATACCTATTTGCTGAGTGAACAAATCAATCTTCATACATAGGTGATTTCCCAGCATGGTTTTCACTGATCCTCCTGGAACAAGTTACATAAGAGTTTTGTACCAGCAAGCCGTACCATGAGCAAAACTTTCTCCTCAATGTTTTATGTTTTTGGCTAAATTCAGAAGAAAATGTCAAGGACTGTGAAGATGATGACTAAATGATTGCCACCCTATGGAAGTTCCAGTTTATTTAACACATTTTTAATAATTTAAGTTCTTATAGGAATCATCTGTATTTATAGTGTAAATGCCACTGTACAGAAAAGGGAAGAAATCGAAGAGAAGAAGTGTGGTTAAAAACTGGTTTGGGACGCAGACGTCCTGGTGCAAATTCTAACGTGTCCCTCCAGTACAAGGGAACTGCGTTCCCTGCCTCCCAGCTTTCCCCATCTGTAAAATGAGGACAATAATATCCACTCAGAGTCATCATGATGATCACATGTGGTGATACTTACAGAGCAAATAGCACAGTGCCAGGCTTAAAGTAACTGATTGATAAGTATCAGCTAGTACAACTCAGACATTACTCCTTTCCTTTGCCAATGGTCAGATTAGCAGCCATGGTTCTGGCGTTTGGGACAAAAGCTGGTTTACTGGGGCCAAGTCACAACGTGAGAAGGCACAGGAATGATGAATAAATTCATTACACGTTAATCCCTGACGAATCTGTGCGGCTACTGAGACTCTGTCACTGAAAGAGAACTAGTCTTTTAAAGCCTGCATGAAGCCCCTGTCACCGCATTGACTTTGGAAGCGTCAGGGGAAAAATCAAGGGCACAGAGATAGGGCCGTGGCCTGATCAGATAGCGTCGTTGTTACAGCTTGGGTCTGGAATGCTTCCTGCGTTGAAGGCTTAGTCCCACGCCGGTGACAGTATCCAAAGGCGGAGGAAGCCTTCAGGAGGCAGGGCCTCGTGGCAGGCAGTGAGGCCAGTGGGGTGCGCTCTTGCAGGGGAGGTTGGGCCCTAGCTTCTCCTCTTTCTCTCTGTGCTCCTGGCCACTATGAGGTACGCAGTTGTGCTCTGCCACATACTCCCCACCATGATGTTCTCCTCCCCACAGGCCCAAAGCGATGGGACCAAGCAGCCATGGACCTCTGAAACTGTGAACCAAACAAACCTTTCTTTCCTATAAGTGCATTATCTCAGGTACTACGCCACAGTGATAGAGAACAAACATACAGATTTTCTATGCTTTCTTCTGAAAGTTTGATAGTTTTGGCTTTTATATTTAGAAATACCTACTTTAATTTTTGAGCATGATATGAGGTAAAGATCTAAATTAGTTTATTTTGGCATATGGAAATTGAATTATTTCAGCAACATTTCTTGAAGAGTCTACCCACATATGTTCTTGGTATATATTTCCTTACTTCAAGTTGCTACATCTTATTCATGTTAACAAGTGTAATCATTTAAGGGTGATATTAAACAAAGGCTGTAAGTGGGCAGTGTGGAACTTATGGAGTATACAGTAAAGAATAAAAGTATAGATTTGGAGTTGCAGAGACTCTGCTATTCTGCTATTCATTTCCTCTGAGGTCATGGGCAATTTCAAGCTTAACTCCTTTATCTGGACAATACAGGTAACAGTAGTACCTGCTTCATAGAGTTTGAATCTAGGTACAGGGTTAATGACAAGAGTATAAAGTCAAAGAGATATAAGTTGCCCACATGTAGTACACATTCAATTAACATGGTTATTGCTGTGATGTCATTCCTCATATTTTTCAATGGCTATTACTAAGATCATAAGCTGTTATGATTGGTTTTGAGTTTAAAGTGGTAAGAATGAAATATATCATTACGTATATAAACTGAAGCTCTAGGAAGACACCATTTTGTTTCTATGTCTTTTCCTGAGACCAGTTCTGAAAGGCTGGTGAGAGTAACGGTTTGTCCAGGATAAAGTTTACGCTATCAGGCAGGCAAAGCAATATTTGTTCCATGCTTGGGTTGGCCTGGGTTCGGACTACGGAGGATGAGAAGCAGTCAGGCTTGCCTTCCTACAGATGGCTTTCCAGTGGCTCTGCTGGTGTGAGTCCAGGCTGCAGGGAAAGGCCTGAAGAGAGTGAAAAGACCTGGAAACTCAGGAAAGTTCTGTTCTCTAGTGGGTAAGTTGTCTGTGACACATCCAGTGTTGTTATGACAGTTTCACAAAGCAAACACATTGATGAACCACTCGGCAGCCACGCTTAGAGAAGAACCAGTCTAAGTCTTACCTGGTGTGCCCACCAGACCATCAGGTAAGAGAATACTGCAATCCAAGTGATGGAACCAAAGAACGTGATCGGAAAAAACTTCCTCGATGACTGAAAGACAAGCAGAAGAGGTTAGTACCATCTACTGTGATCTGACAGTTGAAAACTAAAACCACCCACTGGAACCATTTTGCCTGTATTTCCTGTGTGTTGGTAGGATTAATAATCCAAAGGCCCCTCCCACCCCTGATTGTGTGGGGCAGTAAAATTCTCTCTTGGAAATGTGAAATTGGTAGGAGCTGAATGATCATAATGCTGGTTCCTGGGCTGGAAGTCTCGTAAAGAGAGTAACTATTAGTTCCTGCAGGTAGATGCTCAGAGAGCAACTGCTCCTGTCCTTTCTAAGGCCTGTTACTCAGCTTCTTTGACATTCTGTTAACTTCAATCTTAGTCTTCCCCTCCTTCCTTTAGCTTGTTTCCAAGTCCATCAGAATCATAGTCCATTGCTTGAAAACCACTGTAAACCATGTCCTAATAATCCGTCGCCAGAAACCCTAGGGGATTAATTATATTGAACAGGAATGGGAAGGATTTAGAAACAGAAATTACAGTCACATGAATTACCAGGAAAGCCACACAGATGAAGCTGCCACCACAGCTTCTATAGTTTTGGGGTGATGCCTGGTCTCCAGGACCTTGGGACCACACATGCCACAATGGCAGACAGAGTGGACAGAGGCAGATATGCCCAACTGGCCTGCTCTTGCCTGGGCATGGGGAAAGGGTAGGGGCGGGCCAGCGATTGTCCCTGGGAATGTTTTCTTTCCTACCACACCACAAAATATCCAATTCTTTTTTGCACATTGAGCCGTGTACAATCTCAGGCTTACACTGTGAATACCTTTGTTTCCTAGGAATATCAACCAAAAAATGAGACACTCAAAATGCAGTGTTTTTGATTTTGAAACTTTCCACACTGAGAAATAATCCCAGTTTTTATTTTGATAATCCCATTCAGCTATGTTAGAAATGAAAATGAGTTGGCCCAGATAAAAGTAATCTCAGTTGGCTGAAGGGCTGACCTGGGCAGTCACGTGGAACACTGTCTGCCATGGCCTGCGAGAGCTTCAGTAGGAAGAAAGATAAAACCTGTGCACGGTAATCTTTTGAATGATGAAGAACAGTTACTACTGCTGCAAGCCAGGCTTACACTCTCTCTGCTGATTTCAGTCTCAGTGAAGGTTTCTATTATCATTCACGCAGTTCTTAAATGTCACAATAATAATGTGTCTCTTTCAATGATTGCTGATGTTTGACCCATTCACTAGCTAGGATGTCTTGAAGACCAAGTGGGCTTAAATAAATTGAAGGGTATCAGGCCACAGTGAGTACCCAAAACCTAACCCTGAAATGTGTACTTGTGCTTCTTTCCTTTCTTTGAAGGCAAATGTTTCAGACAAGGACTCAGGCGAAACACAGAAAAAAGTCAGCTTTTCAAAGTGGGGACTAAAATCTTCACTTCTGAAAGTAAATTTCTTTAAAGCTGGGAGTTCATCTGGATTCGAGGGACCAGATTCCCCAAGCCAGCGCTAAGAACCAGGTAAAACTTTTAGCTGCTTGGAGTTTCCAGGTTTTTCCTCTGGTCATGAGTCATTGTCGTAGGATCCTAAGTGCAACAAGGATCGCGCAGGGCCATGCTCGCGCTCTGTTACGGGGAGGTGCGGGTCCGCTTGCTGTGTGGGGCCACACGACTTGAACATCACCTGGTGCTCGAGTGTGAGCATGATGTGAAGGGAGTGCAGAGTGCACCGCACCGCGCGGCGTCTGCCCTAATGTCCCGGAGTCTGCGCAGCTTGCTCACTCTCCAGGTTAGCTCACTTCACAGCTGCGTAGCTATGATTTCTCTTTCATGGTTAACTTTTTACCTTTGTCTGTTCATTGAGATGACTTCTCAAGCCAGAATCAGATAATTGGCCTTCTATCTCACCTGGAAAATACCGCCACTAAACTATAGAACATTCCTGCCCAAAAGGTAGAAAGCAAGGTATCAGGCTAAAGATGTAAGGAAACTAAATTTAAATCAGCCTATTTGTGAAAAACTCTTCAATATTTGATGCTCATGTTTCTTAGCCAAGAAACTGATTAGCAATTAACAGGCATCAAAAAAGTACCTAATTTTTAATTAGAGGATCATTAATAAAAGGCTAAATTTTCTTTATGGATTTCAGGATTTTCATTATAAACTAGGGGTGGACAAAGGCAGTGCATCTACTCTGTACCCAGATCTTGAACTAGAGATAAAGTGCAAACCGAGGCCTGTCTGGCTTTATAGGACAAGCTCCTAGCATGTATGGTTACACTGACTCTTCTCTAAGGAAAAATAAGGCCAGTAATGCCCAAAATACACCCAGGCACAGACATAATGATAATCATCATCATAATACTAGGCTGTGCTGTGAATGTCAGAAAATAAAAAAAGCACCAGGGAACTAGAGACTAGCATTCCAGCTGTATGGCCATCTGCCTTCCCCAACCTCCCATATAATTCCTGCTTCGGAAGCTTCAGCCCCGCCCCCCCATGCGTCAGCAGTTTGGCTAAGTGTTTCCCCATCAAACTATCTTACCACGTCCAACCTCACAGCCCGTGCAATTTTGTCTTCCATTTTTTCCCTGGAATATCTCCCTTACTTAGACTCTATGATTTTATTCCAGACACCAGTGCTCCATAGCACCTGTACAGTTATTTAGTTACCAGTATCATTGGCCCTGGGAGCCAAGGTCTAGCACATCAATTCATGGTTAGCGATGGTGGCGATGCTGACATCTGTTGGGATAGGCCTTGTACTAATTAGCAAATATGCAAATTGGTCCATGTGCTGTCCATTTTGTTTCCAGTGTGATGGTTCACTTGTACAATTGATCGCTAATGTGCTCACTAGAAGCTTTCGGTATATCAGACTGCTACTGGCTTGGTTTGAAAAAAGTTGCCGGACATTAGCTAGCTGCACAAATTGGCCATATCCTTAGTGACTTAAATTCAGCAAATATTCATGAAGCATCTACTCTGTGCAAAGTTCCAAAGTGTACATTTTGCTTTTTGGGCAGAAGAGGGATCTCACTATGCCACCTGGGTTGGCCTTGAATTGTGATCCTGCTGCTTCGTTCTCTGGGATTACAGATATGTACCACCATACCTGGATGAAGTACACACGTTTAACAAAGTTTCCCTACAATCCTGTTAACATTGAAAGTGTAGTGCGTGGGTTAACACCACTGGTTTGAAAGCTCTGTTCACAAGTTACCAGGGATGTGCCCTTAGACACAGGATTTATAAGTCCTTTCAGCTTTGGTTTCTTCATTTGAAAAACAGAGAAAGTATCAAAATCTAATTGTTCTGAAGATTTAAAATGTCTAACAAAGTCCTGGCACGTGTCCATGGTTTGCATCTCGATGCCCCCTGGGAGCCGTGTGCACTCATCTGCGGGGCTTTGGGGAGGTGACTGGATTACAGAGTTCAGAGCTGACATGCGATGAGGAGGTGGGGTCTGGTGGAAGAGGCGGGCCACCGGGGCCCGGGAAGATTTATGTCCCGCCCCGGCTCCTCTCCTCACTCTCTGCTTCTTGGGCCACGCTGTGAGCAACTCTCTGCCATGTGCCTGTACCATGCCACCCTGCGTTTGAGCTCGCTGATTATGGACTGAAACCTCTACAAACTGAGTCAAAATAAACTTCTCCTTCAGGTTGTGGGTGTTGGATTTTGTCCCAGGAAGGTAACTAAGACCCAGATAAGAAGGACTCAGATAAAAACTGTAACTATTGTTAGACAATATTATCCCCATTTTAAAGAGATGAGAAAACTGACACTCGGGGAGGTGAGGGTGACTGTGGACACCCGGTCTGGAGTCTTGGCTTTGCCGCTTCCCAGTGAAGTGTGCCTGGGCAGCAAGCAGTGAACCTCTCCGGGTTATAACCATCTCATTCTTGCTGTGACCGTGCTCGGCTCCGAGCAAACAATACCTACTCAGTGACTGAGCAAAGGACAGACGTGGCAAATACCTCGCTGAGCTCTCAGGTTCCTGCTAGCTCCAAGGGTTTCCGTAGCTCATTAGATGCCTTCCTGCTTTATAAGAACACTCATTCTAGCCTGTGAACGAAGATAACTTCTGGGGCCCTTATTTCATTATTTTCAGCTTTCAATGAAGATATGTTTCTCACTAAGGTTTACATTTTAGTTCTTCTACTTTCAAAACAAAGCCATTACTTTAAGAAATTAAATATGAAGCTCATATTAATCATCGGAACTAAAATTATGTACGATCCAATAAACAGTGCTATATAATTTGCATATAAATGAAGTGATAATAAAACAAGTGGGAGTACTATTTACTGTGAAACTAGAAGTACACAAGCATGTTTCCCTGTAATTATTGTGAAGGTTTTAGACATTCGTCTCCATGAACAATTAAAAATCTACTGAGGAGATAGAGCCTCTGGGCCCTGAGGAGTAGCTGATGTCTACAGTCAGTACTGTTCTTCTCTCTCTTTCCTCTGCCTGGATATCTTCTCAGAGACCTATGGTAGGATGGCAAAAGTGGCCACCATACTTTGCTGCTCCTCCCATGAGAGGGGAGGTCTACTTCTCCTCACCTTCGTTCTGGGCTGGCTTCAACGAGCTGCTATGATCAGTAGACTGTGGTGGAAACGACAGTACGCAAATTGCAAAGTAGGTCCCACAAGAACATCGTAGTTTTCAATCTTGCAGCTCTTGGCACTTTTCCATCCTGTGACTAAGTCCAGGTAGTCTGCTCAAGGGTTAGAGGCCGCGTGGAGCAGAGTATAGCGGTTCTAGCTGGGAGAGCCCTCTGCTAATCATTCCCCAGCAGAACCGTTTGGCTGAGCCTAACCCCAAATTCCAATTTACAGGATTATGGACTAAAACAGGCATATTGTTTCAAGCCAGCAAGCCTAGGCTGGTGTTACACAGCAAAAGACAATTAACTTGAAATCAAGTCTAACGCAACACTTTGGGACCAAACACGATCAGGAAGGGTCTTAACGGCTTTTGTACCAGTGGCGAAGTTTCTTCGTTTGGCGTATCGTGCGTATCGAAGGTGCACATATCATTTGTCTTCCAAACTGGTATGCTTTGCACATAAGCCGAGACTCTCCTGGGCAAGCTGGCCAACCTGGGTGTGTGGTCACTTTAAGTTTGCAATATTGTATCGGTAGTTAGTTCTCTTGGTATTTATCACAGAATGTCGTGGAGGGAACAGAGTATATGGATCTTCCAATCCTTTACTCACAGTAGAGGAAAAAGGTGGTCCAGGATGGAGAAGTGCTTTTTTCCAAGCTTGCACAGCTTATAAATTAGGGAAAAACCACGGTAATCAATTGATAGAATGTGGTAGTCAGGAGACTTGGGTTCAAGTCCAGTTCCTTTTACTGATATAGAAGTACAATCTTGTCTTGTAGTTGTACGTGGGCATACTTTGTTTTCTCTATTAAACTTAAGGCTCCTTAAGTTTAAGAGATAGAAAGAGATAGAAAGAGATAGAAAGAGATCTTAAGAGATAGAAATTGTGAATTCTGTGTCTTTATATCTCCCTGAGGGCCCAAGTCCCAGTACTTAGCATATAATACATTTTCAGTAAGTATTTGCTGAGGAAATTTTTAAAACAACCAAATATTCTTTCTGGGACTCTCACTTCTGCTTGAAACAGCAGGTAGTATACTCAGAAAATGGCAGAAAAAGTCCGGTCCGCCCTGTGGCTGGCTCTTGGGGGAGCCATGCGGGAAAGTCCCGGTGGTCAGCCTACCCCACTGCAGGGCTGGCCTGCGAGCGGAGCTGTGCGGGGAGCAACAGGGCAGTGGTGCTGCGGAGGGGAGCACCGTGTGCCCTTGGTATTACAGAATCAGCCACAACAGCTGACATGATGCGGATAACTACTGTTCTGGTTGATTTCTGTTTGTTTTCCAGGAACTGTTGTTTGGGAGCCTTGATTTTGTCACTTAGCTTCTTTGATCTTTTAGCTCAAGAGAGGACGATCACTTTACTAGCCTGTCCTCCAAGGGTCTTACCCAGGGCCGAGGACCCAGGCCCTTGAGCTATTTGTACCTTCCTCCCACTCTCCTGACTGCCTCGCTGGCCCTGTGCTGACCTTCTCTTGTCAGCCAGGCAGCTCTCTCTCCGCTGGGCCACATGGCACTAGACCTTCGGTGGGTAAGAATACAGTTCTGGGGCAAACAAGTGTTGGGCTAAACAGCACAGAAGTGGGACACATAGAGACAGGGATAGAGATGGAGATAGAGATAGAGGCAGAGAGAGATAGAAATAGGAGAGAGAGAGAATGAGATTTTAGAAAGGCAGACATGGAAGTCAAGTGGGAGGGGAGAGCCACATAGAGAGCTATTTGGTTGTGGGGTTTTCAGCAAGCCTGGCCTTTGCACGGAGCAGATGTGCTGCACTTGTATTCTGAACAAAGAAACCCAAATATTGTCTTAATTTAGCCATACCTTATAAGAAGATCTCTAATTTTGAGAGTTCTTCCCTAAGCAGGTCCTTTCTTTTTTTATTTTTTAAAATTTTAAAATTTTTTATTTTTTGCAGGTCCTTTCCTGGTGTCTAAATGGCTCTCCACCTGGATGATTATTTATCTATAGGACAGGCAAACGGGATGTGATTTTTCTCCTTTTTTTTTTTTTTTCCAAAATAAGGATGTAGGATCATCTGTGGACTCCTGAAGGTTTATGTTAAATTATGGTGGATATTATCATAGCATTCTATTCCAAATGTTTTTTGAAATGATTTCTTTTCAGATGTCCAATCCTTGGTTATCAGGAAGTATGAAGAGAAGTCACTTGGTCAGACCTAGGACTGAATCTCGCTCCATCCTCTAGAAAGTGAGCTGGTATAAGTCACCTAAGTTCTTTGTACCTAAGTTTCTTTCTACTTACGCCAGTAGTAGATATACTCATGCGTTAGGTATTTCCTGAGATCCTCCAGTATAGCTTATTGAAAATACCTGGTGTGGAATCTGACGTGTGGCAGTCCTTGCTTCTGCTGAGTAAGTGCACATGTGTAGCACCGTCCTGAAAAGTAGAGTTATTTCTCCCTTTGCTCTCGTCAGCTCTTTTACCTCCTGCATAAGAACTACTGTGTGGTTCTGCAACCCAGTTCCACAGCACCAGCAGGGGGCGATCTCTTGTTTAATCTACATTCAGAATGTATTTTGCTGATTGTAGGGTGGTATTGTGTTCATAGCACCTGGGCTTAACAAGGGCAAATAGTACTGATTGTGGGAGAGATAATACAGCAGGGAGAAGATAAGACATATAGGCATTTTCACTACACAAGTGCATTTCTTTAAGTTAATTTTTCAATTAAGGGAATAATCCATATATATACCAAAAGAAAATTCAAGGAAAAGTGATTTGTCCTCCTATTTAGACCTTCAGTTGCTCTTCTCGAGACAGTCACTGTGGTAGTTTTAAAATGTGGTTGCAAATTCTTCGATATTCTCCCCACCAACATAGTCATGTGCTGTGTGACATGATGTATTCTATGTAAACTTTCCCTCTCTGCTTTAATCATGACAGACTCATGGCTGCTTTGGCCAGTAGAGCAGAGTAAAGTGACTCCATGAAATATCTCACACTGGAACATCAAGACCATGCAGCCTCTTCCTTTTTCCACTGGAAGGCTCACTCTTGGAACAAGGACCTCTTATGTAGGACATCAGACAATCCTGAGGACACCATGCTGTGAGGAAGCCCAAATCACATGAAGAGGCCACACAGAGGCACAGCAGTAAACAAGCCCAGCTTATGAATCAATATCATTCTTGCCTGGGCTCTGAACCCTCCAGACGGCTGTAGCTTCAGCAATGAGTCACTCCCGGCCTTTCAAGTCTTCCCAGCTGAGGTCCCAAGCATTGCAGGATCACCCATATCCAATGTATTCTCCTCCACTTGCTATCTACAGGATCCATGGTTGGTTCACACCGGATAGGCAGTTTGTTATGCAGTTTGATAGCCTGGACAACCAGTAGGACCATGTGTCCACAGAAGTTTCAAGCATATATAAGAATGCACAGGTTTCCTTGTCGCCGGCCCCCTTCCCTTTACACAGACAGGAGCACACTATGCTAGGGAGTCAGACTTTTACAAGAAACCTGTTCCTTTACTTACAGGCTTGCGAACATCAGGTAAGGTGATCCAGAGAGGAAACACTATGGGGAGGACGATCAGGAATGTGACCTGCTTGCGGGTGTTGGAAGGCCAAGCCAGGCTGAGGGGCTGGTCGTCGTCCTCCTCAGCTGTCTCTGTGGCCTGCTGCAGAATGAGAGAACACACATAGCATGCACAGTGAAGACAGTGACACAAGCCAAGTAGGAAAATCACCGGGCAGGACCTGCAAGCCCCAGACACAGCAGGACCTTTCCTGAGCCGTACAGCTGCTTCATAACATGCTTTCAGGGTAATAAGAGATGCCTATCCGCCATGTCAGGAGCCCAGGACCAAGGGGTGAACCGCCCCGCTCGGAGGACTGAAAAATTTTCTCTCCTTGAACACTCTTATCAACTGATTATTCAACATGGGCTATAGCTGCTATTCATGAACTTATGAGAAATTGTGTCTGCAGAGCAACAGAGAGAAGCCCCTGTCTCCTTCCTCCTGCTCCCTGAGGACTGTGCCAGGGGATTTGGAATTCTTGGGAGGAAGAGCGCCGATGAAACAGAAACTTTCTTTCCTTTCTTATTTGTAGAGCACTAATTTTCAGCAGGAAAGTGAAAAAATCACCTCAGAAACAATTCTGTAATACTCTGGAGAGGGCTCTACTCCCTCCGTCTGGTCCAGGAATAAATTCAATGATTTTTTTTTTTTTTGAGTGGGTATGTGTTTTTAACCTGCTTTATCAGCTTGCTGAATTTTAAACTATTTTACTTGCAGCCAAAGGCTTATTATGCAAAAACACCTTCCTCAATCCTCAGAGAAGCAGATGGCTGGAGCTGAACAAGACACGGACCTGTGCAGGGCCCCTGAGTCAGGGTGTAACTTCCCAGTCTGACTTGGCAGCATGCAGCCAGGGTTTTATTTGCCAGCCACTACGGTTGGAAGGTTCTGCAGTCCCAGAGCTAGAAGAGACAGAAGCCGGCTCTGGGCCCGGCAGGACGACCATTAGCCTGTCAGACGGGCCCTCTGAGCCTCCAGACAGCACCGCAGACACCATCAATCACCCCCTTCCCTGCTTGTTTAAAAATGAAAGTACAGCAGCAGGACAGAACATCAGATCTAAAAATATCAACAGGAACCTTTCCACCGAGGCTTCCTTTTGAGAGCATGGAAACAGCCTGCGCAGGCTTCAGGAATCGCCTGTCCCCGGCCACTTTTGCTTCCAGCATCACGCTGTCCGTTCGGCAGCAGTGACCCTTCCGGCAACTGCGTCCCAGCGGGGGTAGCAGTAGCGGGGGCAGAGGTCAGATGGTGAAGGTCAGGGCTGGAGGGGGGCGTGACTTCCGGCACTGCTGTCTTTGGCAAACCTAGGAGCTGACAGAAGGATCTGCAGCGGTCCACGCGTCACCCGCCTTCATCTCTCTCCCGGAGTTAGGAGTTACGATAAAAATAGTAACAGGAGTGAGAAAGGGGTCTGAGGCCGTAATGAAAACGGCCGGGAATAAGAAGTTCTTCTTCTTCTTTTTTTTTTTTTAATTTTAAAGAGAAAAAAAATAACAAAATAACAACAAAGACAAAAACAACACAAAAACAATAAAAACAATACAAAATTTCAAAACAAGATGACAGAGATTAACAATGGCTGTTATATTACATATTGTTATCTTCAACGAAGTTGCTCAGATTACTAGAGGTAAGAATGTAAGATGATCAAACCATTAGAGAGAATAAAAAATAATAAAAAAAAAAACTAGAAATGATTCAGAGAAGTTCTTTTGTTTTGAGCGTGCGTGTCCTCGGCAGGGTAAAAGAGCTGATAAACTGCAAATATGAGGAAAGTTAGAGGATTAGATGAACAAGAAGAATTAGGAGGGTGGCACAGAGTATTTCGTTCCCCTGGGTCCTCATGGAGCGCACGCCTCATACGCCCCGGCCCTCTGTGAATGCAGTGCACATGCGAATCCATCCTGTCTTCCCTCCAGCTGGAGGGCTCCCATCCCTGAGGGAAGCGTGGGTGTGTGCAGGCTCTGGTCCTTGTTCCAGGCACCTCCACCTCCTCGGAGGAGAAGCTACAGAGAAAACCATTCGTTCCCTCTGGGCCCACTTGCCTCCCAAGGTGTCAGCTGGATACAGGAATAATCTATGTGTCACGGGCCGATGAGGGTTAGGGAGACAGGTGTGTTTTAACAGTTCCCTTCCAGATATGATATGATCTCCTGGCTCAAGTGAATCACTCCCCACGGCCACCTCCACAGATGAGCCGGAAATGGGCATAAGGGAGTTGAGGTGCTGCAACATTCCTACCAAGCACCCTGTCTCACATGCAGAGGTGGTTTTATTCCGGAGATTCCCCACTTCCCCGAAGATCCAGCCAGCCGACCTGATGAGCCATGGGGCTCCTTGCCTTCCGAGGTGGCCTCTGTCTCCCTGCTCTGTCCCCTCTGCCACCCATAATCTAGCAACTTTTCTGTAAACTCTAAGCTAACCTTTTTTGAGGAAAAAAAAAGAACAAACAAAACACCAACCAAAAACAAAAACAAAGGCAACTCTTCATGACTCATATCATTTTAATGACATCAACAGATGGTGACATTTCATCAATAACCCTTCTGCTTATAACCTACAGATTAGCTCTTTTCCCATCTGCCGAAGTCACCAGGCAGGCAGTGCCACTAGCGAATAGCAGAAAATAATTGTCTGTTTAGATGCACAAGCTCTAAACACACTACTGTCCCATGCAAACAATTAGCTAGATTGTAAGGCTTCCAAAAGTTGCACTTGAGGTGGCTGCTGCTAGGGCAGAAACGGACTAAGAGAAGAGACACGTCGTGGACCATGCAAACAGTCTCTCTGTGGGGGCTTCTCTGTCAGGAAGTACCGGAGCCTAAAATCCTGGGGTGAATGTAAGCGCTGCCCAAAGAGCAAGGCTGTCAGCATACTTTGGGAGAAATGCCCTTTGTGTGTTTGCCAAGTCAATTCTCGCTCTGCTCAATGGGCAACAGTTTGCCAGCTGGTTAGAGAAGCAAAAGAAAAAAAACATCGTTCCAAGTTGAGGGCCCGCTTTGCCTTTGCTTAGGCTGGGAATGCCAATGTGTTCGTTAGTCTCAAGCCCAGGAAAGAGGCTACCGAGGTTTGGGTGATGATTTTCCAATTTTTCCCAGAGTTGTGGCATGCTGGCTTTGACCTCCCAAAAACTCATCCTTACCTCCTGCAGCTTCGGAAGAGTGCCCATTGAAAACAAAATAAAGCAAATTGGAGCGGGCTAAATACAGCTATGATACAGAAACAATTCAAATGACCTTGAGATAAGGGTTTAAAATGGTTTGATATCTGCCGGGGTCCCTGCAGAAGCCCTGGAATTACGCAAAAAGCCAGGGACAACTGCTTCACGGTTGTGTCCTCTCTGGTATGGGGAATCAGATGAAAATCATGATTCTAGGTTTTCACGGGGTGGGTGGTGCGCTGGTGTCAAACCTTACGGCATGGTGGGAGGGGCCGGTGGCAGAGAATCAGCAGTCCTGCTTGTGCCCAGGCTGTGCTTCTTGGCCAGCCACATCAGCATCCACAAGCCTTCACTGGTCACCTTTAGGTGCAAAGCCATCTGCTGAATTCTGGGACTCTTGCTTTCAAGGGGTCTTGGATTTAAAATGGGAAACAAAACACAGGACTCTAAATAGTTCACTACTGATCCACATTCAGGGGTGCTGGCAGGTTATATGGAGATACACTTCCAGTGGTTCTCCAATGTCTTTTTTTTTTTTTTTTTTTTGAGGAGTAAAGACTTATTTTGGCTTTCAGTTAGCAGAGGGTTCAGCCCATAGTCTACTGGCTACAAGGCAGGGTGGCATGGCAGACGGGCATCACAGAGGGGAAACAGTCCATGGTGTGGCAGGCAGGAGGCAGCAAGCAGCAGCAGACTCCCCATCTGTTTCTGCCTGTTATGGACTGAATTGATTCTCTCAAATATATGTTAGAACCCTAACCCCTGGCCCTTCAGAACGTGACTATATCTGGAGATAGTGTCCTAAAGGGGTGATTAAATTTAAGTGAGGACATCAGGGTGGATTCCAGTCCAGTCTGAGTGCTGTCCTTATAAGAAGTGGAGATGAGGACACACAGAGAGAAGCCAAGGGTCACAGAAGTGCGCAGCACAGAGAAAGGCCACATGAGGATGAGGACACAGCAAGAATACAGACATCTGCAAATCAAGAAGAAAGGCCTCAGAGGAAACGACGCTTGATAACACCTTGGAGTTTAAGCCTTTAGAATGTGAGAAAATAAATTGTGTTCTGAAGCCACCTAATCTGTGGTGTTTTGTGATGGTGGTTGAGCAAACAAATGTACTGCTGTTCTGTGTAGTAATCCGAATTTGCACTTTTACCCACTCCTGGAAGGAAGACTTTATTTTTTAGGCTTCCCTGTGATGAGGTGTGGCCACATAGCTAGGATCTGGCCGGAGGGATGTAATCAGAGGTATCCACAACTCCCATGATGTATCTTTAAAGGGTGAGGGGGCATCCTGGGAGTCATTTTGGCTGGTGAATGAACAACCATCTTGATCACGAGGCAGAGAGGCAGTACACAAGAATCTGAGATAATGACACCCATCATGAAGAGGTCTTCTAGTCTGGTCTAGTCTGGTCTGGAATTCTTATATGGACTTAGACCGAAAATTCTACTTACTCAGCTGCTATTATTTTGGTTTCTCACCTTGGAGCCTTTTTATAAGTGATCTAGTATTCTTTTTATGAGGACTTAGGGGAGAATTCTCACATTTTAGCATCAAGAAAAGATATGCTTCCTCTGAGAAACATTAGAGTAATCTCACATCTGTAATTTTAGCACTCTGGAAGGCAGAGGCAGGAGGACTGAGAGTTTGAGCCAAGGCTAGGCAATTTATTGACTTAGCGAGACCCCTTTTCAAAATAAAAATAAAAACAGGCTGGGATGTAGCTCTGTGTGAAGGCCCTGAGCTCAACTCCAGTACCCTCAAAATAAAAAAATCTCAGAAACAGTGAATCGGGTTCTATTCTATTTTTGCTTTGTTCCATAGGGATTTTAGAGCAAATTTTTAAATACCTACAAAGACAGAAGAGAATAGTTCCAGACGTCAGACAGCATCTCCTGGGAGGTCTCTGAACCGATCAACTTGGTTTTGT